GTAAGTTGTGTCCATCTATCACAAAAAAAAAAAAAAGGAGGAAGAAGTAGGACTGAGGGGAGAAGGGAAAAGAGAAGGGACCCTAGACCCTAGAAGTGAAGAGATTAGTGCGAGTTCAAGTCTTGAACACAGAACCACCGTCACTATTTATAGAGACAGCAGCAAGAGCAGATTAATGCTCACCTTACAACGTCAAAGTCAAAGCATTTTCAATTTGCTTAAATGTACACACAAATCTCATCTGCAGTCCATCTCCTATTTAACTTCATTCTTTAGTTAATATTGCTAACGATTTTTTTTAAAGAAAAACCACCAATTAAGTAAAAAAGAAAAAAAACCACCTGAGACCAGAAACAGTCATTCCCTTTATTTCTCCATAAATATTAGACTTTCTATTCTGAAAAGAAGAAGTCTTGGCCCAGGCTGGCAGCTCACATTTGTACTCAGCACTGAGGAGTTTGGAGCAGGAGGATGGCTGTGAGTTTGAGGACAGCCTGGGCTACAGAGCGAGACCCTGGCTTTAAAACATTTAAGGTTTAACATTCTTCTAACTGCTGCTCACTTTTAGCTGAAAGCCCCTCTTCCGTGGAGATGATACTCTCTAGGAACCTTCTAGGCCATTCCTGCACATCACGCAAATCTCTTCCACGGGGACAGCTACCCCTCTGAACGAACGGGGACAGCAACCCCTCTGAATGAACGGGGACAGCTACCCCTCTGAATGGAGACAGCTACCCCTCTGAATGAACGGGGACAGCTACCCCTCTGAATGGGGACAGCTACCCCTCTCAAGGTTGCCATTCAGCACAACCACCTACAATTGTGTGGACTGCGATGCCCATCTTCACAGTCTCCCTAGGACATAGGCGTAATTTAGACTCTGAAGTCAAGGAAGGGTTTATATTAAGCAATTAATTCAGTTTTATTCAACATATTTTATGTAATCAAGCTTGACTTTCTCAGAAGTAATTGGTATCGGCTTACATTTCCCCCTTCTGTTCCAGTTATTTCTACCACTTTTCTAAAATTGGAACTTCTAGTCTATCCTTAAACTGGAAAATTTTTTAGTACTGCTCAGTGTTCCACGGGAAAAGCTTCACCCGTTAAATATAAAAGAGAGAGTAAGAAGAACGGTGTGCCCTTCCACAGCATCTCCAACAGCAGGTCCACAACAAAGACTCCTGGCCGCAATCAAAAGCTGACAGCTCAAATGTGAATGCTATCACAGGTCAGCCAAGATCCACCCGTCAGGATGAGTTTTTACGGCCACTCAATGCTTTAGCAGGAAGTTAGCAAAAACTAATGACCTATAACCCTTCGAAGCAATTCATAAAACGAAGGATGAGCAAAACAAATGTCTAAATTACAAGCTAAGGCTTCACCTAGAGCAGTGCTCATCAAATGAAACCACGGGCCCAAAGACAGCCCAGAGAAGGAAAGGCAGGAAAGGGGAGAACGAATAACAAGACAGTACGTCCGAGCGTATCACAAGCCGGCGGGTGTCATCTTAAGAACTCTGTTTCTTTTTCCAGATCTATCTAGAAAACCATGTAAAATTTACACCTCGGGTTCTATTTGAGTGGCGGCTGGCAAACCCCGATTGAGGATGCAGGCAGCAAGGACAGAGCAGAGGTGCTGCTAACTGCGGCCGAACTGGTCTCGGAAATAAACAAGACTAAGGTCTAGTGACCTGGAGAGAGAGAGTTTCAGAACTTCGGCAGTGGGCAAGGTGGGCACCCTGGGATGAGAAGCTGAGCAGGACGTTCTCCCTGGCAGTGGGCTAGGGTTAACCCAGCTAAGCTCCGGGATTCCTCCACTAACGTCCTTACTCCTCCAAGCTTCTGAACGGCAGCTGTCAACGTTTACTTTCTCCTGCTCTCCTGTATAGTCAGAGCTCTGCAGACAGAACAACCGGAATGTGATTACTGGTCCTAGGACAACTGCTCAGAAAACACTAACTGTAGTTGGCAGACAAATTAAACTCATTGTATACTTTTACACAATTAAAAGTTCAAACAAGACCCTGGCATCTAGAAAGATAACCTGCAGCTATAATAGTCACATATCATAGTTCGCCAAGAAATAAAAGGTCATGTAAAGAATATAAATACCAAGTGAGGATTTTTAAGGCTACATGAAATGTTTTAAAGGTTCGTATTTTGGTTAATAGCCAAGAGTAACCTAAAACATCAACTTAACAAGCCAGCAAATAAAACAGTGTTGGAATTCCTAAATATAGGCTCAAAAACCTTTCCTTACCAGATCTATGTCAAGGTATTCAGGATATTCACTTGCTTTAACAGAACTAATTTTATTTATTCATTCCTTTACCTACGTAAGTATGAACGAGGGTATGTGTGCCACCATGTATGTTGGTAGAGGCCGGAGGACAGCTTTGTGAAGGTGGTTCTCACCTTCCATCTATGTGGGCTCCAGCGACTGAATTCAAGTCATCAGACTTTGCAGCAAACACCTTTTACCTATGGAGCTATCACAAGAGATTTTTATTATGGAAGCCACATTTGTGTGTGTGTGTACATATGTGCATGCACACGTGTAGGTATATATGGAGGTCAGAGGTCAGGTGTCCCTCGTTAGGTGCTATCCATCTATCCCACACAAGGCTGTCTCCGGTCTGGAGCTTGTGCCAAGTCGGTAAGGCTGGCTGGCTAATGAGTCCCAGAGAATCTACTGGCTGTCTCGGCCATCCCTAGTGCATGACATTCTGCCCAACTTTTTACGTGGGTTTAGGGATGGAATTTAGGTCTTCAAGCACTTTACTGAGACATCTCCCAAATGGTTCACTATACCATCACACAGTCCACTTACACCGAACACTGCTATTCCAAGCTGAGTACGTATTTTACCTGTCACTACAGTTAGATGTTCTTGCCATTAATATAAACCCAAACCTGAATGGAGACAGACAGACAGACAGACAGACAGACAGATTCACACAGCTGCATGTACAGAGAATGCCCCTAACTCGAGTGAAGAGTTCCTTTTAGCTCTGCCCACATAGTTCAATGTTTTGTCTACCTCACTGACTCCTATTTTCTTATTATTTGAAACTCGAGTGGCTGGAGATATGGACCTTAATCACTGGTTAGTTTTATAAATATGATCCTGCGAGGCTGGAAAAAAGGACTTCTGGCCTCTGCCTTCAATTCCCCCACAGAACACAAACACCCAAAAGATAACCCTTTGGAAAGTACCTACCAGAAGGCCACTTTGTGCACTGGTATAAAAGAATACACCAAGGCCAATACTGCTTTACAGCCTCCTCTTTACCTCTACAGGGAAAAGATTTTTCGTTCAAATATTAATGGTATGGGTTTTTAATCAAAGACTTCACTTACTGACCTCGTCTGATCAGACACCACGTACACTCAATTCTGATTACAGTGCAGCGCTTACACAACTGGACACCCCTAATCACCCTAGATTAAAGATTCTGCTGGCTTCCCTTTCTCCTGGGCCATTCTACCCAACCCAGAGCACGACTATACTCACCTCCAGGCTAGAAGAAACAACGTAATAGCTTATTGATCGTTGGTGTAGACCCAAACCCACAAGTCATCAGCCAAGCGGGGACGGGGCTAACAATGAAAACGCACTGAGTTTTCTGGTCCCACACAAACCCATCACTGACAGTTACTACATCAGATGTGGATGAACCCATCCTCCTGCCCAGAACAAAATAACAGACTATTCAGAAAAGGGAGCAACATCCTGAATTATACTGAAAAGACTACTATTTCTTGGCTGCCAGTAAATGGCAATTTAAGTCTATTATATTTTTCATGTAATATGAATTCTCAGGTAAGGAAAGTTACCATCATATTCAATTCTACAGACAAATGCTTTCAAAAGGATGCTACCATATGCTGGGGAATTATATGTTGACAGAAACCACCACCATTATACTACCGAACCAGTATTTGTGGCAAATGACTTGGACTTTTTGTAAGTAAAATATATCGGGGGAAAAATGGTAGCTTCAAAGTGTTTTGTTTTTTTTTTTCTGGAGAAATTTGAGCAATGCTCCAAAATGGAAATATTAACCGTGTTCCCTGCAATACCCATTCAAGGAGTTAACTAATGAGAACTAAGAATGGTGGAGTCAGACCTGAGCCCATGCTCAGGACTCAAGTGATGAACACTGCTCTAGTTCACACAAAGCACAGTTCCCACATCCCATCAGCCTTCCGCTAGCCTTAGAGACTGATATCCCTAGCAGAGCACCGACTGGCATCAGGCAACAGTGACAGTAGCCGAGGGAGGACACGGATGGAATGACAAGCGAACAGGGAGTCAGGGCAGACTTGTACGCCCCAATAGCCTAAGACTGAGGTGGGGCTGGAAACTATTTTCTGGCCTTCTCTGGCGTGCAGCTACTGGGGAACAACAAGATCCTACACGCCCGGAGTCCACAGAGCCCGGGGACCGAGGTGGAGGGGTGGGAAGGAAGCAAGCGAGGTGCTTTTTCAGGGAGTGAGGACCGAGAGATAGAGAGAGAGAGAGAGAGAGATGGGAGCGACGGCAATTTCACCAAGAAGAGAACTTCCTGCCTCGGGAAGGATCGAAGGTGGTGGCGGCAGGACCGTCCCGGAGGCGACCTCCCCTTCGTCGTAGTCTCACGGTCACATCTTTGTGCGAGACGACTGTGCAGCCGGCGCCGGGCGAGCTCTAGAGCTAGAGGAGCGAGCCGCCCGCCGGGGCCCTCGCGCCGGGCAGTCCGCCCGCACGTCGTCGTTCTGCAGAGACCCCTGGTCCCGACCGGCCCGCCTCCCTCGCCCGGAGGGGTCGGCGGCGGCGAACGGACCCAAGCATCCCCGAGAGCAGACAACCCTCCCCGCACACCCCGCGTGGGTCTTTGTCCCGCCGGCGGCCGGGGTCTCCTCGGGTCGCCCAGGCAAAGCCCGTCCTGGAGGCCTGGTGGCCCCCGGGGTCGCCCCAGCTTTGTTCGGTCAGCGGGGCGCGGGGAGGCGGACACTTACCGTACACCCCAGTGAGGAAAAGCAAGAGCCACGCCGACCCCCGCCGCGGAGACTCTTTTGTGCTCCAGCGACGGGCCATACCCACGGCAGATGGAGGGAGCGAGGAGATGGAGGAGGAGGAGGAGGAGGAGGAGCTGGGGCCAGACGCCGCCGCCGCCGAGCCCCTGGCTGCTCCCTGCGCGCTCCGCGGCGGCGGAGGGGGGGGAGGGGCGGGGCCGTCCGCGCGCGCTCCCTCCCGCGAGCCCCAGGCGAGCCGGCTTTCCCGGGAGGGGGGGTGGAAGGGGAGGGACACAGGGACGCGCGGCGCGGGCGCGCGGGCCGGCGCGAGGCGACAGGGCCGGCGAATGCGGGGTTCGGGCCTCGCCGGCGCCCCCCCGCCGCCAGACGGAGAGCGCGAGCCGCTGGCCCCCTGCGCTCATCCGTGCACTCGGCAATCCCCTGGCCCGCCTGCCTCGGTGCCCGCCCCGCGCTCCGCTGGACTCGGCTGAGCTCGCGCCGCTCGCCCCGGCGCCTGGAGCCGGAGCAGCGAGGCAGTGCCAATCGATGTGCGAGCGCCGCGAACTCTGGACGCTCGAGTCCCGGGCTCCCGAGCCACGATGAGGGTGGAGGATTTGGGCGGTGAGTCCTCTGATGGATGAAGCTCCGCAGTCCCGAACCTTGGTGTTGGGGTCCACCCGGGAGATCCTTGAGGCTGATGGTGGCCCACTCGTGAGGGGAGAGTGGGCGGTCGGAGGCTGTGAACTTGAAAGTTCCTGACCGTGACTCCCCCCGCCCCCGACACACACACCCAAGTAAGCTCCACTTGGAATCTACCCTGCACCGGCGCGTGGGTCGTGGGTCCGCGTGGTCAGCCCGATTCTGGACTAGAGGTTCTGGGGGACATCCCGCTGGGCTGCGGGGTCCTGCACTTCTAATCTAGCGGTGAAGCAGCGGGGGGGGGGGGGGTCCCTTGGTCACTGGTGAGATGGGGTGGCCGCTGGACAGGTATGCCTGGAGTGGACCTGGGGTCGGGGCGTGGAAAGAGGGATGGCCCTGAGTTCTCCCAAGCCTCTTCCCATCTCCTGACAGGGATGACCCGTGACGCTTCTCTGTCTGTAGCGACCGACACTGGCACACCGGACCTTCCACCGTTTAAAGTGTCTGCGTGGTCTTAACTGCTATCCTCGCCCGTTACAGGCACCACCCGCTATTTGCTCGAAGATCCGCCATGCTCTATCTATACTGTACCCTTACAGTACACTGGGATTCTCGATCCCTCACAACCTCGTGAGATAAATATTATCCACGGTTTAGATAAGCTAATGAGACTTGTTGAAGTTAAATTGTCCCGAACGAGGTATCAAATTGCCAATAAACTTTTTGTTTCCCGATTCCAAAGTCAAGACCCTTGCACAGTAACAGGAAAATCAAGCAAGATGTTTAGTGCCTACCGGTTATTGTTAAATTTTAGGGTATGCCTTGGGGGGGAACACATGAGGCTTTTTCCCCCTGTATCTCTTGCTGATTTGACCTTTTAATAACCCCCGAAATTGTGTTACAGAAGATAAAAACTCTATTGACAGGTATTACAAAAGTTTACAAATCTTGTACAGAGTGGTAACAAACAAACAAAAGCCACGAACTCTGGGCATTTTGTTCCCTTCTCTCTGATGAGAATGCATCAGCTTTGGTGCTCTTGAATCTGCCGTCTGCAGATAGCCTTCCTTGTTTTATGTTATTCTATACTCTGATTGCTTGGTTTTCCCGAGTTCTTTCTGCTAATTGAGTTGCCACAGCAGCTGTGTTTGGGTCAGGTCACAAGCAGAGAGGTACAAAGTAGACTGGATTGGGTCCATCTCCTCCTGCCCCCATCACTTTTAGTACCCATTCAAGGAACTCTTGTCCCAAGAGAAGACACATGGTGCCCACATAGGACCCCGACTATCCATCTGTGCCTCTCCATCTACACCTGCTGGGCCGTGTCTTAGACTTGTCAAATGAACAAGCATTTTGTTATCCAAGCCCCTTTAATGTTCTTAAATCTTAGTGAGGACTCCAAAGAGCTTCTACTTAGAAATTAAAATGAGAGTTCTATCTTTAATTCTTTTAAGATGAAACATACAAGTCTATATTAGTATCCTCAAAGCAAATAGAAAAGTGCCGTCTTTGCAGATCTCCTTTGTGTCTGGCTGGAAACATCTGGATTCTCATATTTGATTCTGCGTCCAATCTGTTGTTTTGGTTGAAGTATTCTGAGAAACCCAGACAGAGATCTGCAAATTGAAAAAGAAAGGATCTCATATACTTCCTTGAAATAGTCACAAGGACATCCCCCACCAAATACAGGCTATGCACCTCCAGTCTGAAACCCTGGAGTGATCCAAAGCACTGAGCAATGAAACTCAAATACAAAAGAGCAAACCCATAACAGCAAAACTCCCAAGAATGTGAGCTCCCACGCATTTCCGATGAAAGAACACACAGTTTGTGAAAGTTTAAAGACGATCACTCCAGCTGTCTGTCTTAGAGGAGTCAATGAAAAGGATCCAGAAGGATGTGTACAAGGGAATGATCTTCCTTATGCAAAATAATTCTAGTAGAATCTTGGGTGTTGTTAAACAACATCTCATATTCTCCCTGTTAAAACGGAAGTGGAATGTGGCTTCTTCGATTACATACCACCAGTGAAGTACTATTTCTAGTGTGTGTGTGCGTGCATATGCACATGTGTGTGAATGCACGCTCGCACATGCGCGTGCACACCTATGGCATGGTATTTGTTTTATCTTCTCAGATGTCCATATCATCATTATCCTCTGTGTGCAAATGAGCGAACAGGCAGAAAGGTTCCGTAGTTTGTTGAGATCACACAGATGGTAAGTGGTGGGCATTAAACTCAGACGCCGGAGCCCGCATATGCCATCAGTCCACATCAGTCCAAGCAACACGTCTTGGAGTGGGCAGCTTATGAGGCACAGGCAGGATAAGCACCCTCCAAGTGTCCCAGCCTGCCTTCCTAGCTCTCTAGGTTAGGTTGGTCGTATGAAGAAACACTTTGAAATCCATTAGAACTCTAGCTACGAAGAGGTTTGTTTTGGTAACCATCCCATTGAGTGGAGTACTTATTGTGCTTGGACAATTCAGATCTGCATCCAGTAAAGCACAAATCGTGTCCTTATATCCATAAACAGGCTTCAAGTGACCCGCTACGCCTTCTGAGATTGCGTGAAGTTTTTGTGTTCATGTACTTTTCATAGGGAGATTATTTCCACAGAGTCTTAAAGAACTCTGTCTGCCATTAAAGTTTAAGAAGACGTCATTAAAGCAATTCTGGGTTGCTTCTTAATGCGCTTCCAAGTGAGTCTCATACTCCTCAAGAACAGATGATGAGTGTGCAGACTTTTTCCATTAGTGCAGTTTGGGAAGGGCTGGGATCTTCCACTTTATGATAACATGCCCTTAAATAATCAAAATCCCCCCCCCCCTTTTTAAAAATAATTTTCAAGATCGTTTTCCTTTATCATCACATGGTTTAATTGTTACTGTCATGAATAAGCACTCACGGTAGACTGTGTTCTGTTTGGTGGCCCTTGGCGATCTCTTCAGAACTGAGGGGTTCCCCTGGGGATTTAAATCTAGAACTCTGAGCATCATCTTTTCTAGAAAGAAAATCGAGGTTAGTGGGTTTTCCTCCTGGTGTACTTCCAAACAAAGACAAATGATCTCCCCTTCCCTGAGTTATTAGTTTTCAAAAGAAAAACAAACTTAGATAATACATACAAATACAAGGAAAATATTAAAGGTGGTAATTAAATAAGCGAGGACTCTTCCTAAGAAAATGGCTTTCACTGGAGTTGAATAGTACAGGGTTGCAAAGGAGAGCTACCAATCTAGGCAATTCGAATACTAGTTCCCCGGCCCCTTTGTCGAGGTCATTTCCTATGTTCTGAGCGCTAACAGCCTACCCTTGTACCTACTGGTAAAAGCGTAACACTGGTTCTACATCACACAGTTGTCTGAATCCTTGCACATTTAGTTTTGCCCTCATAACTTCGACTTCTTAACTGTCTAGCCAGACCCTTGCCCCTGCGTAAGCATGGAATAGCCATAACCTGTTTTCTTCTGCAGGCATTGTAAAGCCACTTCCCCCATCAAGGAGAATAACAAGCCATGCAAACTGTTAGAAATCCTCTCAGGCTTTTGTTGTTGAACTGCAAGCTTCCAAACATGTCTTTGTCTTCACATTTAAATTCTTCTCATGACTGACTGAGGATACGAACTGGTAATTCTTGTTGGATGGGAGCTCATCCCAAGTCCCCATGAGCCCATTAGCAGTGAACCTGGAAACGATGATGTCAAACGAGTGGTTCTTTATAGAGACATATCGCTAATTTCAAGCACATAGAACTTATTTGTATTCTGCCCAAATCAAATGGAGTTTGAGGTTACCAGTGCATTTAACAAATGCAGCATGCTGGAGCAAATAAAAGCAGAGATCTGAAGAGTTTTACAAGGCTGATTTGATCTGGGTGGTTAGCCTTGATAAAACCCTAAATTCTTGTATCTTATATTCTCCCTGTTAAAATGGAACTGGAATGTGGCCTCTTTGATTACGTACCAGCAGTGAAATCATACTATTTCTAGTGTATGTGTGTGAATGTGTGTGTGCACGTGCGTGTGCACGCACACACCTATGGCATGGCTTTCATTTAATCTTCAAACAATTCTCTGATGTCAATACTATTATTATCCTCGATGTTCAAATGAGCGAACAGGCAGAAAGGTTCGGTAGTTTGTTGAGATCACACAGATGGAAAATGGTGAACATTTCAACTCAGACGCCGAGCCTGCACATTCCATCAGTCTACTATGTTGTATGTGAAGCCAGGCACTTAGGCAGTAAATGACAGCCACTGTCATTTAACATATAAATGATGTAATCAGAGCAGTCCTTAGTCTCGAATATGCAATTTAAAATAAAATCTATACGATTATTTTTCTGCCTTTTGTTTCACCAAAGTGATCAACATTACCTTAACTTCAGTTTAAATTAGATAGACATCTGCCTTTTTAGATTTATTTTGAGAAAGAAAAGTCACTTTTAAAAACTTTTTTTATTTCTTTCCATTTTGGAAAGCAGCGAGAATCAATCAGATGAA